GCGCCCAGCCTTCTAGGCAGGCAGTGGAGGCCGCCACAGCACACAGCACAACGGCCAGCATGCCCTCTCCCCACAGTGTTGGCCAGCCCAGGCCCTGGCCACGAGTCCCCGATGGGAGCAGCCAGGCTTCTCCAGGCAGTACCACGTGGAGAAGCTGGGGACACAGGGTCTAGTTCTGTGGCCAGAGGTGGCCAAGTCTTTCTGGAGCACCGCAGGTAGAAGATGGGGGAAGTCGGCGAGGTGCAGCTCGCCCGGTGTCGCCAGAGGCCCTGCCAGCAGCCTGGAGGCAGGAGCAGAAGGGAGTGATCACGGTCTGCAGGGCTGGACCGGGACATGGGGAGGGGGGATGTACCGGGGGCGCTCGGGGCAGGGGCGTCCAGCTGGTTGGGGTAGGAGCTGAGGTGTCCTGTGGGATTGGAGTGGGGGGCTGGAGTGTCCAGATGGGCGGGGTGGGGGCTGGGGGCCACGAGGGGCCGGGCTGTAGTTGCAGCTGGGTTTTGGAAGATCCTGCGAAGGGATTGCAGGCTGGGAGCTGGGCGTGCACAGTGCGGGCTCTGGCCTCCATGGTGGCCCTGGGCAGGCCGAGGGTCCACGCTCACCGCGGAGCATAGGGTGCAGGCCGTCACAGGCTGGACGGCTGGGCCAGCGCGGGCTGGGTGTCGGGGCCACGCGCGGCGCTGAGCACTGCGGTGACGGCGGCGAAGGTGGCGGCGTTGACCGGGAAGGCGCGCAGCAGCGTGGACGCCAGGCCCCGCGTGAACACGCGCCAGCCCTCAGCCTCGTAGCTCTGGCGCGCGCAGTCGAGGATGCCGCGGTAGCGCGGGGGACCGCGCACACCGTCCGCCTGCAGCCGCGACTTGACCACGTCTACGGGGTAGGTGGACAGCCACGACAGGATGCCCGCCGTGCCGCCCGCCAGCAGCAGCTTGGGCACCAGCAGGCGCGAGCCGGGCTCGCAGCCCAGGCCCCGCGTGAGCGCGTCGTAGGCCAGGAAGTAGACGCCGAAGCTGGGCGTCTCGCGCAGCAGCGTGGAGCCCATGCCGCGGTTCACGCCCCGCAGGCCCTCGCGCTGGTAGATCTGCGCCAGGCAGTGCAGGGCGCCCCTGTACTCGCGCGCCGCACCTGCGTCCTGCAGCTGCAGCCGCGTCTTGGCCAGCTCCATGGGGCAGCAGATGACGCACTGGATGGCGCCCGCCGCCGCGCCCGCTAGAAACTGGTTCCACGGGGAGTCGCGGCCCAGCGCGCGCAGCGTGTTGCCCTGCACCCCGAACACCAGCGCGTTGATGAAGGTAAGCCCCATGAGCGGCGAGCCCAGGCCCTTGTACAGGCCCAGCACCTGCGGGGACAGAGAAGCTGTCAGCGCTCCCACCCCGGGGTCCCATGGTACTTGAGCGCAGGCGCAGACGCTCGTGTGTTCTTGGAGTCCGAACTGGGGCGCACTGCCCCTTAGCGACATCCTCTGCCCCTGAGACAGGGTCCAGGGAGAACTTTAACTTGTGATCCTTCTGCCTAAGCCTCCCAGAGTGCTGGCATCACAGGACGGCCCTCTGTGTCCCAGCCGGAGCAGCCCTAGGTCCCACAGGCCCAGGCCCTCATTAGGGTGTGCTCAGACTCCCCCCCAGCCCGGCAGCCCAGGACCTCCTGCTGCAGCCTGGGTACACCCCCGCCCCATTCCGCCCCGCCACTCACGCTTTCCTGTCTGACGATGGACTGGAAGCAGTGCAGCGTCCCGCGGTACTGCGGCTTCTCCGAGCTCTGCACCTGCAGCCGAACCTGCAAGCATAGGTGGGTAAGGGCGGGGACCACTGGGCGGGTGGCGCCCTGTGACCTTGGGATCCCAGGATGGTGCCAAGCCAAGGACCCAAACCTCTTCAGGAAGGGGGACCCAATGTGTCAGCTGGACCAGGCATGGTGGCACATGCCTGTGACCCCAGCATATGGGAGGCTGAGGCAGGACACCTGCCATGAGTTTGAGGCCAGGTGGGGCTACGTAAGTGAGCTCAAGATCAGCCTGCACTATTAGAGACCCTGCGTCAAAAAGAAAAAAATGTCTATCTCAGATGGGTGAAGCCTGTTTTTCACCACTACCCTGCAGCTGCTACAGTGGGTCACATACTACCAGGCCAGGGACTGTCACCACTACCCTGCAGCTGCTACAGTGGGTCACATACTACCAGGTCAGGGACTGTCACCACTACCCTGCAGCTGCTACAGGGGGTCACATACTACCAGGCCAGGGACTGTTACCACTACCCTGCAGCTGCTACAGGGGTCACATACTACCAGGTCAGGGACAGTCAGCACATGCAATGGCTCACACCCTAAGCCATGGCCACAGGGGCTCCCTCGCAGCATCCCCTCACTGATAGTAGTCCCTGGGTGGGGCACCAGGACAGAGGGCTCAGCCCGCTCTGGTGGGTCCTGCTGGCAGCCCTTCATGAGGGCCACAGTTCCGAGGAGTGTGATGGGCCCCTGAGATGGGAGCCCCACTGGCCCATGTCAAAGCACTTTCTGTCAGCAGCCAGTTTATCTCTGCTGGATGCCTGGCCTTGCATGGTGCATGGAGGGACACTTCCTGAGCTCATGTCACAGGACAGGGAAACTGGGTCGCATCCCCCTGGGGGAACGGGTTCCCCAGCTCTGACTTGGGAGCAAAAATGACTACAGCTGGGCTGTGGCCTGACCACCCTTGGGACCTGACAGCTCCACAGACCTCACCTCGGTGTGGGGCACCCCTGCCCAAGCAGCCCATCTGCCAGATGGGAAGACAGAGGTTCACAGGGATGCCGCTTGGCCACAGCGTTCTCCACAGGGGCAGCTGAGACCACATCCTATCCCTGCCACCATAACAGGTGGCTCTTCCACTGATAAATACTATTTAAAAAAAAAAAAAAGCAAAAAAATTTGCTTTTTGAGACAGGATCTCATTATGTAGTTCATCCTTGAACACACAGCAATGCTCCTGCCTCAGCCTCCTGAGTGCTGGGATTACAGCACTCAGCTAAAAAAGCTTTGTTAGGGAAAAGAATGAACCATGTGTAGACATACGGACCTCCACTGCTGGCTCTGAGGAGCAGCTGGCAGCAGAGGCCCGCCCGGTGGCCAGGTTTCCCAACACCCTGCCCACCTCTGCCAGGACTGGACCAGGAAGGGGGATTTCCAGAGAGGACCCCCCAATGAGAGTGATAGGGCACAGTGTCCCTGACTACTGTAAGCTGCCCTGGGCAGCAGTGTGTGGGAGGTGGCCCTGCCTGGGGACAGCAGGCCACAGGAGTGGTGGAGGTCCCAGCCTGGACAGCACAGACAGACAGGAGATAGTGTCACCTCATGTATCCGGACTGTGGGACCTGTGGTGACAGGAGTTAGGGCAGTGGATGTCTGGGGAAGAGAGGGAGCTCCCCGGGGCTGGCTGCCGGGTAGCACTTGGTGACAGGATCTGCACGCAGGACATGGGTGCTCTCAACACCTGCCACCCTTCAGGTACCACAAAAGCCTGACAAGAAAACACCCACAGCCGGTGACTCGGCTCCTGCCAAAAGCCAGCAATGGAGGGTCCAGCAGGCAGCCACTTCCCAATAGGAATCACGAAGCTTGGGATGAGGATAGGGAGAAATGCTTTTCTCTTCTTAGTTGTGAACCTCTGTTATTGCTTAAATTTTTTTATTTTTGAGACAGGGTCTTACTACATAGTCCAGGCTGGCCTTGAACTCACTATGTAGCCCAGCCTAGCCCCGAACTCATGGTGATCCTCCTGTCTCAGTCTCCTGAGAGCTGGGATTACAAGCATGTGCCACACATGTGGCTGTTGAAAAAAAAATTTGGTGGTACCAGGGATTGAACTCAGGACCTTGTGCTTGCCAGGCAAGCACTTATTCCACTGAGCTATCTCCCTAGACCCAAGTTGGAAATTTTTTTAAAGTAATTTATACTCGGGGCTGGGGAGATGGCTCAGTGGAATGAGTGCTTCTCTGGTGAGCAAAAAGGCCTGAGTTCAATCCCCGGTTCCACCAAAAAAAATAAATAAATAAAATAATAATAATAATAATAATTTATACTCTTTGGGGGCCGGGGAGATGGCTCAGTGGAATAAGTGCTTGCCTGGCAAGCACAAGGACCTGAGTTCAATCCCTGGTTTCACCAAAAAAATAAAAAAAATAATAATAATTTTTATATTTTTTTTTTTTTTTTTCCTGGAGACAGGATTTGACTAAATCACTAAGTTATTTAGGCTGGGCTCAACCCTGGGATCTTCCTGCCTCAGAGTGCTGGGCTTAGAGATGTGGCCCTCAGGCCTGACTTCCAGTGTTCTTTTACTTGAGACTGCTTAACTTTGTTTTGTTTTGTTTTGTTTTGTTTTTTTTGGCGGAACTGGGGATTGAACTCAGATCCTTGTGTTTGCCAGTCAAGCGTTTATCCTACTGAGCCATCTCCCCGGCCCCGAGACTGCTTAACTTTGACACTGGACATGAGTAAGAGCAGTAAGGCAGCCTGGCAAGTTCAGGGGCCTGAGTTCAATCCCCGGTTCCGGGGGGAAAAAAAAAAAAGGGCAGTAAGGTCACTAGTGACAGCCACATTAAACCAAATGAAGAGACACCAAGCTGGGCCCGTGACAGAGGTACTGCTGGGGCTGATTCCTGCGGGGCGGCTGCCCCCTTTATAAAAAGCTCAGCTTCAAGGCAGCAGTGCCCATGAGGGACGCCCAGGGCCCACTGGCAACACTGAAAGAAAACGGCACAGAGGTCACCAAGGCCACCCTCGGGCCGGGACTGCCAGCCGCAGGACAGTGGCTCAGGATTGCTGCTGGCCCCGACAAGTGTCCTCAGGCTGCTGTGGACACGGAAGTGGGCCACCGCTGGCAATGTCACAGCTTGGTGAGGCCTGCCCAACACGAGCCACAGGGGACATCCCATTCAGACGCAGCTGCTTGGCCCTGGAAACTTGAGACCCAAAACTTGTCCTGCTCTGCCGCTGCCCCTGCCAGGCTGTCCTGGGCTGCTCCCACGGCGCGTGGTGCACAGCCCCGGGGGGCACGTGGAAGGACCCCCTGCTCGACAGGGACACCTGGCCTGTCAGCCTCTGCCTGATCCTCAGAGGAGCCGTGACCCCGGAGCTCCGCCGCCCGTCCCAGTCCCCACACCACTGCTGAGGGTATGTGGGCCTGGAGGACAGTGACTGGCTCCGGGCCTGACAGTCACCCTCGACTAGGGACGGCACTTTTTAAGGTCCGAGCCAGCACATAAGGCCAGGCCCTGGGCCTGCCAGGGAGAGATCCCAGGCCTGCATTATCTAGCTGATTTCTTTAACACCTGGTTAGATGGGAAAAGGAGACAGGAGGTCCTGATCAGCCAGCTTCCGAGAGAGCCACAGCCACTCCTAGCCCTGGCCAGGCCTTGCGAAAGGGAGCCCAGTGTTGTGGGCAGCACATCCAGCACCGGCAGCAGCGCCAGCTCCAACTCAGCTGCCTCGAGCACGGAAGCCCGACCCCAGGGGAACCTGCGTGGCACTTGCAGCTGGAGAGCGAGGGTTTCCTTGTCTGCTCTTCTGGGTGTGCGACAACCTGGAGCTAGTTTATCTAGGCTGGGCCGCACGGGGAAGACACGGCTGCCTCAGCGCCTGCCCTCACGCCTCTATTCCCAGGTGCCAGCCACACTCAGGCGGTATCTTCCAGGTCTTTAGCAAGGCTCCTCCAAGGCAACAGCGGCTGCACCGCCCAGCAGCCTCAGAAACAGTTTCTCACTCAAGAAAACCAAGCTGGGCAGCTGGGGAGACGGCTCAGTGAAATAAGCGCTTCCCTGGCAAGCGCAAGGGCCTGAGTCCAAGTCCTGGTTCCACCAAAAAAAAAAGAGGAAGACAAAGAGGAAGAAGATGATCAAGCTGGGCATGGTGGCACACACCTGTGACCCCAGAACTCTGGGAAGCTGTCAGGTTGAAAGTCTGAGGCCAGCCTGGGGAATTTAGCAATTTAATAAGATCCTGTCTCAAAATAAATTGAAAAAGCGCTGGGAATGTAGCTCAGTGAGAAGGTCCTAGGTTCAATTCCCCAGTATAAGAAGAATAAAGAAAAAAAACGTGCTCTGTAAGATCCTCTTAACGGGAAATACGCCGGGGAGATGGAAGCAGCACTTCCCTGGCAAGGGCAAGGGCCCGAGTTCAATCCCCAGTTCCGCCAAAAACAAAACCCAAAAGAAATACCAACACATTTTGGTTTCTCCGTGTTGTATATTCTTCTCTACACTTTTTTCTTTCAGGAAAGCAGCCGCAGTTGTTGCGCATCAGGACAGCATGGGTGACCAGCTGGCAGTCGCAGGGAGGCATCAGGCTGAGGCCAGGGGAGCGTGCACCCTGCCCTTCTGCCCCACATCCTGGACAGCACACAGCGATGCTCCCCCAACCCCCTGCTCCCAGCCCCGAGGGGTGACCTTGAGTTGCAAGGCCTCTGTCCAGCACGTATGCCGAAGACACTCACTCACCTTGACCGTGTCAAATGGGTGTCCCACGAGCACGCCTGCCACACCTGGAGGAAGGAAGGGAAGGGGGCCTGTGACCCATTACTCCAGACCCTTGCTGGAGGTGGGGCTGGGGGCTGCGACAGGACGATGGGCAGCGACAGGACGATGGGCAGGAAGCCCTGGGGACAGGGATACTGGCCACGGCCCTGCTGGCCGCGGGGAACCCCTAGTGCCCACAGTGCTCCTTCCGGTGGGGGAGGTGTCCTAGGGACAGGCCAACCCCTGCCTAGCTCCTGCCTGGCAGCCTCGCTTCTACCCCACGGCTCACTGGGCTCGGGGTGGCTGCCACAGAGGCCATCCTGGTGAGGATGCACACAGCATGTCTGGGGTGGCCCTGCGGATCTCTGGGCAATGCGCCCCAGGAGGCACAGTAGGCGCTGGCTGACACCACCCCTCATCCGGGATGGCCCAGGGAGGCATCTGGTGACTTCTTGGTCACGCCTGGTTATTTATCAGTTCAGAGCCTGCCAAAACCCAGCCCTCCGTGGAGGAGAAAGCTTCACCCGGCCTTCCAAGTGGCTCACAGACATTTCCCAGAGCCCTGCATGTCAAACAGGGCACAAGTGTGCCTGTGAGTCATTAGGTCACCCTGCAACCTAGCTCCCCAGGTCACAGAAGGAGAAAATGAGGCTCAGGGAGGCCCAGCACTCACTCAGGCCCCCGCGCAGGCCCCTCCCTACCACTTCCTGTGTGCATCTCTCAGGAGGACCTAGGGCTGGGGGCACAGCTCCACAGCAGAGCATTTACCTAGCATGCCCGAAGCCTCCCGAAAGCATCCTTTCCTCCTCCCCCTCCCCCTGCCCCTCTGTGTGGGGGATGGGACCCAGGACTCACACATTTCACAAGCATTCTCCACTAAGCAGCATCTCCGGCCTTTTGTTTTGGTTTTTTTGGTGGAACCGGGGATTGAACTCAGGTCCTTGCGCTTGCCAGGGAAGCGCTTATTCCACTGAGCCATCTCCCGGCCCTGGCCTTTTGTTTTTTCGAGACAAGATCTTGCTCTGTAGTCCAGGGTGGACTTGAACGCTTCCAGCTCTATCAGTCCTCCTGCCTCTGCCTCCCCAGCACTGGGATCACAGGCACGCGCTGCCACTGGGCCAGTGAGCTTTGCCAGCTCTTAGTTCTGAATCTTTTCCTGGTTTGAGATGTTTCTTGGAAAAGCTCCACAGCCGCCTTTTGTTCCCAGCCTACTCTGAAGCAGTCTCGGATTTCACCGAAATGGAGGAGGGATCGGAGGAGGGATGTGACCTTATGGATCCGACCTCATGCCTGACATTGTCTTCATGCGTGAGACTTACTTTCCTCCTTTTGCCTTCCACATTTGCGTGGCTCAGGCCGGGACTGTTTACCTTCATTCTGCTTGTGAAGCCCACAAGTTCCACAAAGCATTTTCTTCTTCCCAACCCTTGTGCTCCTGACTGGTCACCAGGTGAGGATCCGGCACCCCAGCTGCTCTCTGCCCATTGGCCCCACCTGCTTAGGGCCACACTGTCCCTGTCTTCCCCTCGCAGGTCTGTGCCCTGATCACCGCCCCTGGCCAGACCTTCCCTGGTCCTACAGGACAGATTTCTTAGCAGCTGGAGCAGCCTTTGCTCCTTGAGGACTCCAGCGCCTTGCAGCCCAAGAGTGCCTGTTTCTTTGGCAAGGTCAGACCCTGTGAGCCCACCTTTGGGTCCCAGGAATGTCGGCAGGGATGCACCAGGTGTCTTTTCTTTACCCTTAAGCCTGCCTGCCTGCACCTCCTCCACCGCCCTTGTCCTGCAGTCTCACCCTCTGGGCTGGGAAGTTTCCAGGGTGAGCAGCTCCCCAGATTCCCATGCCCTAGCTCCTTTCGGTCTCCAGGCCCCTCTTCCTCTTGGAGCCCATCTGTCTCCCACCTTCTGGGGTGCACTTTGTTTCTTCCCTGCGAAGTCCGCCCTCCTGCTCACTTCCTGCGTGGACTTTTCTGTTTGAGCACTGCTGATGCTGCGGACAGAACCCAGGGCCTTGAACACGCTGAGCAGGGCTCTGCTGCAGAGCTGCACACTGGCGCTATTCAGAATGTTCCAAATCTGCAAGTCTTGGTTCTAGAACATCTTTGTGTTGTTTTGCTCTTTGAGACACGGTCTCAATTTGTTGGTCAAACTAGCCTTGAATTCACTGTGCAGCCCAGGCTGGCCTTGAACCTCCAGCCATCCTTCTGCCTCAGCCTCCTAAAAGTGCTGTTACAGGGCTGGTGAGATGGCTCAGTGGTCTAAAGCACCTACTTAGAACAAGCTTAGCAAAGCACAGGGACCCCAGTTCAATCCCCCAGCACCACATGCCAGCCAGCCCCGCCCCCTGGTGGGCTGAGCTGGACACACACACACACACACACACACACACACATAAATAAAATAAATTTTTTTTTAAAAAGTGCTGTTACGTAGGCTTTTTGCACTTCCATTTTCTGCCCTCAGGTGGGGAGCTGAGCAGCCCCCAGCACATCCCCCAGAGCTTGGGCACACTGCCTCCCACAGCTGTATCTGTTCAACCTGAGCAACGTATCTGTTCAACCTGAGCAACGAATCTGTCCCCCTCCAGGGCACGGCCTCATTGCTCAGCACACTGCTGTGGCTCTTGCTGTCCACACCCTACCCAGAGTCTGTGTGGCTGTGGCCTCTGAAGTGGAGACTGAGCACCCACAGTGAGGAGAGAGACCGTCCAACTCTCCTACCACTGGGCACCACAGGAGCTGTCCACCTGCCAATGAAGGGGCTGGTCTGGCCAGGACATCCCATTGCCCCTCCTGAGGAATCTCAAGCAGAAGCCAGCAAACCAGAAGGGCCAGGTGCCTGGGCTTGGGGCCACCAGCTCTGTTCCAGGTAGCATGTGCATCCTACGCTGCAAGGCAAGCCTGGTCATTATGGGCTCCATTATCCCTGAAGTCCTGTCCCCCTGGGGAGCATGATGTGACCCTGCACCAGTCCCCTGCCTTGGGATGGGATCCTGCCAAGCTGACATCCACCCTTACCCCTGCAAAGCTCGGGCCTGCACCTGCCCAGCTGTGCTGAAGGTGAGCACCACCCACCCAGGCCTGACACTCACACCACCGCCTTCAGGGCGGCAAGGCCACAGCTACTGTGTGCATCTGCCTCACCCCTAACACGGGAGCAGGACCTGGTGGCTGGGGGTATCCATTCCAGGCAGGGAGTCTGGGGTCTCCAGGCCTGGCCTAGGAAGGAGCCCTGTCTGAGGGAGAATAGGCCTCACCTGCCAAGCAGATGCAGAGGGCCCACTGAGGCCTCACCATGGCCAGGATCTGAGAGGTAAGCCCACAGAGACCAGGCCCTTCGGGCCCTCCCCCCACCACTGCTGGTAAGAAATGTCCTAGGGGTTGGCAGGAGCTCAGGGCTTTCATTCTCCCGCTCCCTGGCAAGTTCCTAAGCCCCTCAGGACACTTCACTGCCCTGGCTGGCTGCCCAACCTTCGTCCCCTGCCCAGGAAGTGACAAGCACAGAGGAGCGCTAAAGAAACTGCCCTCAGTCTCTCTTTTCCAGGGTGCAGCCCGGCCTGTAGCTGAGGGCCTAGTGAGAGCCAAAAGTGGCAGAGGGAGGGTGGAGAACATAGAGGTAGTGGGGGAAAGACCACCTGCCTCAGAGATGGACGGGCCTGGAGGTGGCGGACCACCCTTCCTGCCACTTCTGTCTGCTGTCGTCCTGCACACCCGATGGTCACATTCAGCTCTTGGACGTGTTGCATAAGTTGGCTCTCCAGGAAAGAGCAGAGAAAGTGCAGGCCCTACAGGTAAGTGCCACGCCCGCGCCCACGCCCCGCCACTGTCCGGCACCCAGGCAGACCCGGATGCAGCGCACGCAGGCCCCCCGGGGGGCTCCGGTTAGCG